TTCGGAGGTTTCTTGCCTCACCATTCTATTAAGACCCAACTTTTTATTCCTAGCAAGCTTTTCTAAGAGATTAACGCATATGTTTTATTCACACAGGAGATGCAATATCTCAAAAGTCTCTAACTCATTATCCATCTTGAGGATATTTGTAGGTACTAGAAAAACAAAGGTTCCTTCGTATGATAATCCCCCTTCCCCTGGTTATTAACCAATTGAGAATCACTTCTGCCTAGAGGTTAGTGGTTCCCACCTCACGTGTTAACTTCATTTATGCTATAAGAGCTTTATACTCGACCTTGTTATTTCTATCTTGGAAGTTGAAACATAAAGATTATTCCTACATTACTTCACTACGTCTTTCCATCATGATTTTTGCGTCAATTACTTTCAGGTTAGAAGACCCGTCCACCAATAGGAACCAAAGGAATGAGAACTCTACTTTAATTGTCGCAGTGAACTCGACCAAGAAATCTTCTAGGGTTTGAGATTTAATACTTCTTCAGGGTACAAATGATATATCATATTCGGAAACTTCCACCGACCATGACACCATTATTCCTACAAAATTCAACTATTTTAGCATTTCTTTGTTTGGGTAGTTTGTCCTAACAATGATTTGGTGTCCTTGGAAATAATACCTAAACTTCCTCGCCATAATAAAAATCGTCAAAGATAATCGTTCTTTATTTTAATAGCGTAAATTGACCCCTTTTAAAACCTTGCTAATGAAGTGAACTGATTTCTCTCCATTTGTGCCCTCCTGAATAAGGATCGAGCTTATGGCCTTATCTGTGAGGGATAAATACAAAATTAGTAGCATTCCTTCTTTATGGATGATAAGAATGGCTTGAGCTGATAAAAAATTATTTAAATCTTAAAAATCCTTCTCACATTATTTTGTCCATTGAAAACTTTCTGACTTTTTCAGCATTGTGTTGAAACTCAATGAAAAAATCGTAGTTGGATGTTTAATGTGTATGAATTGAGTATGCCATCTTCCTCCCAGTAACCACCCTTTTATCCTTGTATTTGGCGATTAGACCTTCAACAAAGTCTTTTACTGTTATTATTTACCATAATGAGTATTCATGATAACTAATATGGTTCATAAACGTCATTTAATGCATTTAGGGAACATGTTTGAGTGTTTTGGTATCACACAATAATGATGAATAAATGCTTTTCCGATGCCAACTCGCCTAGGGTGACATTTTACACGGCAAAAGTTCATAACTAAGTTATTTTATTCTAAAAAATGGCTATAATTTGATCATCGTAATTTTTCTGCCATGTATATAAAACCCCAACCCAAGCATGAGACCTATGAGAGCTATACTTAGGGGATAGGTATTTCAATAACTCAACCAAATTTCTAAAAATAGGCTGTGTTAACCTCAATTATAGCCATAACGTGACCTGTCATAATTTTCTAAAATGTACCTTTTCCAAATCACATTTATGAAGGAAATCTTCTTTCTTCCTAACTTGTTATTTTTACAATATGATATTCCTTATGCTAAAATTTCAAAAGTATTTACATCAAAATGGAAAGAACAATAGTCAATAAAACATACATACGTTCACTTTTATTTCTTATACTAGTTTCTTTTAAACTTTAGTCATTACTCCCTTCAATCTTATTTATAAGAAAAGATCTTTTTTAATTTTTAGTCTTAAATATAAACAAACGTTAACAAATTTAAATACATTTAATCACTTTATTTTAAGATTATCATTTCATTAATTACTCAATGTTATAAGTGAATAACAATTTAATTAAGGAGAAATTAATAATTATGTTATCTCTTTTACAATGAAATAAAAAAAATTGAATACACTTAAATATCATCTTTAATAAAAATATTTTATTTTATAATTGAGGTTGGAATAGACCTTATTTAGAGTTCAATTGTTTTCGATATAATAATAGGTGGAAGAGAAGTTCATCCGAAAGAAAAAACGTACAAACACATCATTTCTTCTAATTAGATTACCAAAGAAACAGAGGAGATACGTCAAAGAAAAAGTTGGGAGCCACAATACTTTTAATTTTCTCTCTTATAGTCGGATTTGGATCCCCTCTTTTTTTTATATATTTTGTCATTTCTCATATTTCTAATCTAACGGTTCAGAATTTATAATAAATAATTAAATAAAAAAGTTATTTAATAAAAAAGAGAAATAAATAAGTAATTGACTATTAATTATTCATTATAAATTCTGAACCTTTAGATTAGAAACATGAGAGATGACATAATATATAAAAAAAGAGGATCTAAATTCAAGAAATTGACATATGTTAGGCTAATTTTGTAAATTAACAATATTGGCATTATTTTCTTCAATTCATCCAACAATTTTGAAATATTCCAACGTGTTATTTTAAGAACATTTCTCACCATAAGTAATTATGTATTATTTTATTTTAATTATTTATTAATAATTGGTAAATTTAATCTAATCATTTAAATTAGCATACAATTGATTAAAGTTATTTAATTATTTAATAAAATAATTTTTAATTCAAACATTTATTAATTAAAAACATTTTAATATTTTAAAAATATATTATAATTTTTTATTTCTTCTATCTTTTTCTTATATCAATCCATACATAAAATCTATTTTATTTCTTTTCTATTTTTTTATTTCTTTCATTATAAATTATAAGATGTTTTTTATATTTTACGTGAATTAAGAAATGTAATTAATTTTTTATAGAAAAAATAAATTATGTATAATTTTACGATATTATTATTTATTTATTATATATGAAAGAGAAAATTAAAAAATTGAAAAAAGAATTTAATAATTTGAAATTTTTTTAAGTGATTTATAATTTGTGACATATGTGGTATTGGTAAACACACTTTTAACACTATCAATTTTAACAATTTTCTAAATTTAGATAAATAGTGATTATATATTTTAAAAAAATAAACGAACTTAAAAAGAAAACATTTGATTGGAGATAATTTTCAGAAATGTACCATTTCCAAATCATTTTTATTTAGGGTGGTAAAATAGGTCTATCTCATTGGTTATGTTCGTTTTCCTTGCATTTTAGGGCGGAGCGACTCAATAATTTAGGCCTTCATTCTTTATTGTGTATGTTTTATTTTCTTTGTAGGATTTTGCGGGCACAGATATTACATAAAATTTTATATTTTTAGACTTAAAAATTATAGTGTCTGTAGAGCTTTTTCGCCCCGTCGTCACTTTTCTTAGATTTTAAACCCGTACCCTCAATTATATTTGTTACTTTCTATCTTTAGTTTTTAGGGGGAGAATCTAAACGGAACAGACATGCTCATTTGTCATCCCTACTGTTATCAAAAAATTCTTTCTTCCTAGCTTCTTATTATTTTTATATGGTTTATATGGTGACTTTGCTGATAGCTGATAAGTAATAACTAATAAATTAATTTAATTATTTGATAAATTAACTGTTTAATTAACTGATAAATATAAAATCACATAAAGGACATTCTTAATTAAAAAAATAGTAGTTTCGTTATTTTATTATATTATATTATTAATTATATTTTATTTGATAAAAATTAATATATTAATAAAAATATGCAAAACATTTTTAATATATATAAAATTTTTAAGATATATATATATATATATATATATATATATAAATTAATGAGATACATGAAATAATCATTGTAATTTTGAATTATGTTATATTAATTTATAATAATAATAAATTTATTTTTTAATATTCTAACTGTAATGATATTTTGAATTATTTTTTTACTTTTTAGTTGATCTCAGTGATTCTTTTCTTCTATGAGATTTTACTAACTTGAGAATTATTAATACTATTTTAAAATTTATTATATAAATTAAGTGTTTTTAAAAAACATTAAACACTATATCATCTTTTATCTTGAAAACCGATATATATATATATATATATATATATATATATATATATATATATATATATATATATATATATATATATATATATATATATATATATATATATATATATATATATATATATATATATATATATATATATATATATATATATATATATATATATATATATATATATATATATAAATTTTTGTTAAAATAATAAGAGTGTAAATAAATAAAAATGTGATAAATTAAAAGATAAAAGCTAAAAAAATCTACATCGAATAACTTTTAAAAGAAATCAAAATTTATTTTAAAAAATTATAAATTAAAAGCTAAGTAACAGTTATGAAACAAAACTTTACAAATCAGAATGCTAAAATTTCAAAAGTATTTACATCAAAATGTAAAGAACAATAGTGATTAAAAAAATACACATTCATTTTTATAAAAGTTTCTTTCAAACCTTAGCTTTTACTTACTTAGAGTTCAATTGTTCTTAATATAATAGCTGCAAGAAAAGTTCATCAGAGAGAATGAGCGTAAAAAGTAGAAACACATAATTTCTTCCGATTAGATTACTAAAGAAATAAAGGAAATATGCCACAGTAAAAGCTAGGACCCACCAACCTTTTAATTATGTCTAATAGAAACATGTTGGGCTAATTATGTAAAATTCCAATATTGTCATTATTTTCTTCCATTCATCTAACAATTTTGAAATATTCCAATGTTAACTTTAAAAACATTTCTCACCATAAGTAATTATGTACTACTATTATAAATTAATAATTGGTAATTTTAATCTAATCATTTAAATTAGCATACAATGGATTAAAGTTATTTAATAATTTAACTAAAGTAATTATGCACTACTATTATTTCTATCTCTTATATTTTTCCTTTTATCCATCAGAAATCAAATGAATTTTATTTCACCTCTATGCTAACCTTGAATGCCAAAAATAACGTACAAAAGTCACACCTAAAGAAAGACAACCACACGTTAGATAAACCAACTAAACTGTCCCTTTTCATTCTTCTTTCTTTCCATCACCTTACACACACACTCTCCACAAATATAAATCCTCAACCATCCTTTCACTTTTCATTTAAATCTCACCATGGATCCACAATCCACAGAAATCATCCGCGAGTTCCCTCGCCTCTTCCGTCTCTACAAAGACGGCCGCGTCGAACGCTTTCTCGGCACAGAAACTACTCCATGTGGCACCGACGATTTAACCGCCGTTCAATCCAAAGACATCACCATCAACACCGACACCGGCATCGGAGCTCGTCTCTATCTCCCACCAAACGCCACTCCCTCTCAAAAACTCCCTCTCCTCATCTACATCCACGGCGGCGCTTTCTGCATCTGCACTCCCTTCAACCCTACCTACCACCATCACCTCAACAGCGTCGCTGCACAAGCCAACGTCGTCGTTCTCTCCGTCCACTACAGACTAGCCCCAGAACACCCTGTTCCCGTTTGTTATGATGATACCTGGGAAGCCATTCAGTGGGTCTCGCAATCTTCCGAGCCGTGGCTGAAAGACCACGCCGATCTTGATATTGTTTTCCTCGCCGGAGACAGTGCTGGAGCAAACATTGCACACAACATGGCGACGCGTGGCTCAAACGAAGGCTTTCCAGGTTTGAAGCTTCGAGGGATGGTTTTGGTTCATCCTTACTTCGGAAACGATGAGAAAGACGAGCTTATAGAGTTTCTGTACCCGAGTTATGGAGGATTTGATGATCCTACAATACATCCGGCTAAAGACCCGAAGCTTTCGAGTCTTGGATGTGGGAAACTGCTTGTGTTTGTGGGGGAGAAGGATTTTCTGATAGAAAGAGGACGGAGCTATTATGAGGCAGTGAAGAAGAGTGGGTGGAGTGGTTCTGTGGAGATACTGGAGACAGAAGGTGAAGGACATGTGTTTCATTTGTTTGAGCCCAGAAAGGAGAAATCACTGGCTCTTGTTAAACAATTTGCGTCTTTTATGACACAGGTTGAAAAAGAAGTACGATCTTCTTCATTATAGAAAATCGATTCATTGTTGGGACATAAATAATTTAGTACAGTAGTGTCTTGTTTGGCTAGGTGGAGTAATTTGTTTACTTTTCGCTTTTGGGTTGTAGCTTTGAAAGGTGGAATTCGTGTTGACTATGAATGAATCTATATTTTGCTTTGAATTCTCTTGTTACCTGTTTGCTCTATTGGTTGTTGCGTCTTGAGTCTTGACGCTTGATTTCAATTTCCGCATACTACTTCAGTGTCGTTTTATGTATGTTCACGGCGATATAAAAATATTCTTTCTGGCCAAAACTGTTGCTAGATCAGAATGATGCCAACTTTGTTGTTGCTAGATCTTGATGATGTCAGCTCAACACTGACTTGATCGACAACAAGGCAGTTATTGAGGACTAGTGCGCCTATCGCTAGACAATTATTGTAGATTGTGTTTTAAACCTAATGGTGCAAAACTCCTATAACTCTAACAATGGTATGGTCGCTGCTGCAACCATGGCTTTAGGATTTGGGAATGTCAACAATCTCCATCCTTAGTTGTGGATTCTTCTCAAGCACGGGTAGCATTTATGTAGTGTGTTATACCATAAACTTTATGTTTAGATTCTTTGATTTTGATATATCATTTAGGTCAGTCATTCATGCATAATTAATCAAGTTATCAGTTTGTTGTCTGTTTTGTTTCATTTGTGAATTAGAGTTTGTTTCAAAGGTTTAATGGATCACCAACCAGGTTTCTCATACTCCTAAGAGACTTTCCATCCTCAATAATCTAGTGTATTGTGGCTTCATCACAAGTCCTTCGAGGCTCAAGTCTTGAAGAATCGAATCAAGGATCAGGCAAGGTTATCAGGTTAGGGGTTTGTGTGCAGTGTTGGTGGAATTCAGTGGAATTTGACATATTTTTAGTCGAAGAAGTGATTTGTTTCAGTATCAGGTTATCAGGCTGTGGCAAAGACAATTTGTTTTAAGGTGGATAATCATTAGGGCAGTTGAATTTCAATTATGATTTTGGTAAAGTGACAGTGTAGTTAATATCTCAAGTCATCTGTGTCAGAGGATATTTTGAAGACAAGTGTGGATTGAACTCAAGTACTTGTGTTTGAAGATCCAGATCAAAGTTTTGTGCATAGTTCAAGTTTATCTGATGAAGTCAAGTCGTAAGAGCCATCAAAAGTCAAGGCATTCAGTCGGACGTGATGGAATTGATTCAGAATTTCAATGTCTTCCTAGTTTGGTTTTAATGAAAAGTTCAAGATGCCGGAAATTGGTTCCAAAGATGATTGTTGGGTCAAGTCAGTAGTGTCACTTATTCGAAATTTGTTTCAAGTGGTTCATTTTTCTAGATTTGAATCGAGGTTTCTGTTCATTTTCAGACTGATTCAGAGATGGTTAAGAATGGTATTCAAGTGACTAGGTTCAGATGGAGTTATTGATTCAAAGTACAAGTTCATTCCCAATTCGGGATTAATTCAGGATCGATTTGTGATTGATTCATGTTTGATTCATTTTTTTTCAAGAATTGGTCCATTTAAGTGAAATGTTCAAAGATGTTTGGAATTTGTTTTTAGTGTGGTTCTTGAATTTAGTTTAAGCTTGATATCAAATTGGAAATACAAGGTTCGCTTAGCATGTTTTCGCCATGACTTTAAGCAAGTTCAAAATTGCAAACATGATCCAAGATTTGGAGGGTGCAAATAAATGATCTTCATTACAAGTCCAATTAAAGTCCACTACAACAAATTGTAGCAAAGTCTTTTCTATTTTACAATCAAAAATTAAAAAAAACACAAAAAAGCCCATGTCCTTTTCTTGGTCACAACAAAAATTCAAAAAAATATACAACACAACAAGTCAAAACCCTGCTCATCTTGCAACTTCACAATATCATGCGCTGAACACTACATCAAACTGTACAGACCCTGCATTTTGACCAACAATACTACCAAGGATGCACCTTACAACAACAATGACGTTACAAATATGTTGCACACATCCTGCAGATAAAAATGATCTTACAACAACAATAAGACAAAATTCAACTTAGCAAATAAGCTACTTTTGAGATGAAGAGAAGCAATAAAAAGAAAAAGAGGAGGAAAACAGAAAAGGACCTTGGTGTGAAGCCATTATGCTATTCCAAACCTCCACACATCTTCACTTTCAATTTCACCTTGATTATTGTTTCACCTCCTTCCATCATCACCGTGAATCCGCTGACGACGATACAAACATCAACCAACCATTGCAAAGACAACAACACATCAACACAACATACACCTTGACAAAAAAACCTTTTCAAAAGCCATACCATATATCTCCATATTGATTTTCAAAAAACAAAAGAACTGAACCTCCTTCATTTTGAAGATTCTTGTGCATGAACTAGTGCCAAAAAACAATCCACTTCATCTCATTTGCCTCGCCATCCACACCCTCTTGAAACACACCATTGTTATCCACCATTTTCAACACCCCCACAACTTCTCCTTTCTAGTGCATAGCAACAAAGCAACTTTTCTGCCAAACCATATTATTTCATGATCTTTTCTAGATAAACCACACTAAAAAAAACAGAATGAGAAAAAAGAGAGGATGCAAAACAAAAAAGAAGGAACCATAAGGAAGAACACGGAAAGAGAAGAACAAGGAATTCTGGAGAAATTATCCACAAGAAAGTCAAGAAACCTGTTTCAATCCACCTTCTCCAACCCACTATGACAATAACGAATAGCTCCACCCTTCGGGTTTTACGACTCGGTAACTCAACAACAACCACAACCTTTGATAAACAGTGACAACACTACAAGCGAAGCGAACAAAGATTGAGGCGTAGCGGAAATAAGAACGAGGCGAGATCGAGCATAAACGAAAATCGAGAGAAGACCGCGAGAGAGGAAAGGAAAGGTTGCGAAAGGGATTCATAGTTCTTGAACTTTTTCATATCTTTTTTTTCTTCATATGACTATGTTTGTTCTTTCCAAAGTGATGCTTCGTTTCACTTGTGGCCGTTTTTTTTTCTTCTTTTAGGGTTAGTGTTTGTAGACATGGGAACTGGGTCAATCGACCCATTTTGTCAAACCAACAACTCCAATTTCTTTAACTTGGGCCACTGCGCCCCATGTTAGTTATCAAGCCCATACACCCTAATTCAATCCTACATCCTTTTTTAATTAGGTTTTATTCTAATTAGTGATTTAGTTTTAATTAGGTTTTATTCTAATTAGTAAATTAGTTTTAATTAGGTTTTATTTTAATTAATAAATTAGTTTTTAATTAAGTTTTAATTTAATTAGTAAATTATTTTTAATTAGATTTTGATTTAATTTACTAACTAGTTTTTAATTATATTTTGATTTAATTGAAATTTGGTTTAATTAGATTTTATTTTTTAGTTAGTTTGTGCCTAAATTAATCTTGACAATCCTCGTTCCCATTGTGGTTAATTCTTGATGTTCAATTTTGAATTTGATTTTTGATACCTTCAAAGCTTTTGTTGCCAATTTTGGATTAAGCGTTGATCAATCATTGTTGCTTTTAGTTCGACTTGATTCTTGAGAAAATTATTGATTAATTCTTGCCTTGTTGATTGGTTTATTCTTGATGCTTGCTGATACTTTTTTGACTTTGAGCATGAGTTGTTGATGAGTGTTTGGTGTTCTCTTGTTCGTTCTTGATTGTTATCACTTACGCTTAAAGCTTCGTCCTTGCTCTTTTGTTATTGCTTTCCTTTAGATCCTTCCCTTTAACCCAGCCTTAGGTTTGGAGTCGTCGCAATTCATGTAAGTGTCATGGTTATGAACACTTACTTCCCTCTGGAACCTTGACCACAGTCAAGAGTTCCTCATCCCTAGTTAGGTGAACTACGAACTCTCTGATTCCTCATTCCTAGTCAGGATACGTAGGTATAAGACGCGATATCTTGTCGAGCTCACTAACCACTAACAACTAACTCCCCTACCTCACGTCATTGCGCGATCAAGACCAGTTTACCTTTCCCTTTATCTTAGAATTAGAATTAGAGTCGACTTACTCTATGTAAGTGTCATGGTGATGAACACTTACTTTCTCCGTTTATTTTAGCCTTAGGTTTGGAGTCACCGCACTTTGTGTAAGTGTCATGGTTATGAACACTTACTCTCTCCCTTGAAACCTTGATCGTTATCAAGAGTTCCTCAACCATAGTGATTCCATCCTAGTCAGGATACGTAGGCATGAGATGCAATGTCTTGGCAAGAAACCTTCCACTTGCTTCACTCGTAGTCCTCTGAACTACGTTGACTCTGACTTTCCCATTGCACGAGGGAATACGTAAGCATATGACCATGAAGTCCTATAGAGTCTCCCTTTTGTTTCCACCTTTTCTTCCCCTTTTTTCCTTTATTCTTTTCTTTTATCTTTGTTTCCAACCCTTCTCTCTCCCTCTTAGAACACTCTTCTTAGCAATATTCTTTAGCAAACATCCTTACACATAAGACAAGCAAATGGTTCCCATCGAGTACGATGGATGTGAGGGGTGCTAATACATTCCCTTCGCATAATCGGATTCTGAACCCATAATTTGGTTGCAAGACCATCTTATCCATTTCTTCTTGGGGTTTTCTCGATGTTTTCCCTTCCCCTTTTGGGATAAATAAAGTTCGACGACGACTCTCTATTTTCCTTTTTGCCTCGACGTCGTTGCATTTTTTGAGTAGCGACAACTTGGAGACTCTGTTGGGGAAACCCCCCTCCCAAGAGAGTTAAGCCCATCTTGTTTATGTTTTGTTTTTTTATATGTTTGCTTGCTTGTATACGTGTATATTCGTAAATATCTGTATATTTCTCTTGTGCTTGGGTTTTCCTGTATGTAGGATTGTTACCTTGAGTGGTGGGATAAGTCCTAACCCAGACTTGAGAGTACACCTATGGTAGGATTGTGGTATAATCAATAGTTAGCTATTTGGATTAGTCCTAACATGTCTAGCATATGATAACCATGCTTAGTGGAGGACCCTTTGGGATTACTGATGT